AGACATTTGCACTTGCAATTGATCAACTTCGACTGCTAAGAAATTCGCTTTGTCACTCAACCAGTTCTGAAATAGTCAAAACAACATTTGATCTATACGTACAACATGCCAAAGATGCATTCAAAGCTCTAGGAGTCAAGACAGACCTCATAGATGTCATTGGTGGTTTGACGGAGTCGGACTTGCCCACAGAAGAAGTTCGCAAGTTGGAGGAAGCCATGAAAGAGGAAAGCCGAGCATACATCAAGTTTTTGGAGGACGTGAGCTCAGATATCGACGAGTTAAGAGAGTTATTAACTGAAATGAAGGCAGTCAATGCAAGTAAAGAAGACATTTCCCGGTTGGAACAAAGGATCAATGATCTGAGTAAAGTTCCAGCTCAAGACAAGCCAGGTAAAAATTCAGTTATGTGGGTAAATCGGCACAATCTAAATTCATGACCTGCAGTGAGGGTGAATTCATAACTCCATGGACACCTGTCCATGCATGCTCTCTTAAATGAGCACTGTAAAGTGGTTAATCATCACCACTGAGCAGATTTTGTTTCCGACGCGCTAAGCACCCACTTGATTTCCTTATTTCCCTGTGGGTGTGGATTTTCTAGGCTCAAATTAAAAAAGCACCAAGAAAAGCCAAAAGAACGAAGCAGAATCATGTCCTTTTGCAGATTAATATAAGGCTTAGATGAAAAAAGAATGCTTATTAACAGCGATTAATTACACCAAAACTTTCCGACATCTGCACTATCAGTAAGATTATGTCATAAGAGACTTGGTTCACGCTTTTAACTGCGAGTGATCGACCTATTTATTTACTTGGGATGACAGAGCGAGAGAGCACTCCAAAAGCCGTAGCTCCCTGCCCCAGGCGACGTCTTCAACAACTGTAACACTTCACTTTGCCCTCCGACAGACTCTCGCGTTCGAACTCGAGAGAAGCACGTTAAGTACGAACCAATTCTTGTTTTATTATGAGTCAGATTGTTCTCGTATTTTCATTTACTGCTAGTTATGATCTGTTGGAGGACTGACGTACAGATGACGTTATTAACATTGTTTTGTTTCTTTGTTATAGATTCCATGTTGCCATGCGTCTGTCAGCAATAGATCACAGAAGACGTCAAAATGTGGTAAGAACAATAGGGACACACGGTGTTGCCTGGTGTGCTACTTGTTTGTTTTTATCACATTTTGACGTCATCTGTGATCTATTGCTGAACAGACGCACGGTAACATGGAATCTATTTGTTTAATTGAGACAAAGTAAACGTAAGCATGGATTATATGTCTGGTAATGATGTAGGCTTGCGCTCATGCCGAAAGCAACTTTTGAGCCTTAGCTCCTCGCCACAGCAAACAATAGAAGAGATAACGTGACAAAGGGCTAATTGATGGCTAGCTTTCTAAAACCCAACTTGAAAANCGAAGAATGGGATTGTACAGCCTTGTTCCAGGCCACTATTTACGCGCGGTCCTTCGCTTTGCCTGACAGCGCTGGTCACCACAAGACACTCAGTGATCTGTATGTGAAGCCTCATAAGTTAGCCCTTGGGAGTTTCCATGTATCTGTGGTGAGTCCAGGTGGAAATGACGCTGAGACATTTGCACTTGCAATTGATCAACTTCGACTGCTAAGAAATTCGCTTTGTCATTCAACCAGTTCTGAAATAGTCAAAGCAACATTTGATCTATACTTACAACGTGCCAAAGACGCATTCAAAGCTCTAGGAGTCAAGACAGATCCCATTGATGTCATTGATGGTTTGACTGAGTCGGACTTTCCCACAAAAGAAGTTGGCAAATTGGAGCAGGCTATGAAACAGGAGACCCGGGCATACATCAAGTTTCTGGAGAGCATGAGCTCAGATATCAACGAGTTAAGAGAGCTATTAACTGAAATGAAGGCGCTCAATGCAGGTAAAGAAGACATCGCCCGATTGGAACAAAAGGTCAATGATCTGAGTGAAGTTACAGCTCAAGACAAGCCAGGTGAAAATTCAATTGTAACATTGTCGGTAAATCGGCACAATCTAAATTCATGACCCGTAGTGAGGGTGAATTCATAACTCCATGGACACCTGCCCATGCATGTTTTCTTAAATGAGTACTGTAAAGTGGTTAATCATCGCCAGTGAGCAGATTTTTGTTTCCGACTTGCTAAGCACCCATTTGATTTCCTTATTTCTCGGCTGGTGTGGATTTTCTAGATTCGAATTAAAAAAGCACCAGGCCAAAAGAACGAAGCAGAATCATTTCCTTTTGCAGATTAATCTGAAGCTCAGATGAAAAAAAGAATGCTCATTGACAGCGATTCATTAAACTTTCCGACTTCAGGCAGTATCAGAAAGCTTATGTCATAAGAGACTTGGGTCACGCTTTTAGCTGTGAGTCTACCGACTTATTTATTCACTTGGGATGGGATAGCGAGAGAGCACTCCAAAAGCCGTATTACCCTGCCTTAAGCTACGCCTCGAACAACTGCAACTCTTCACTTTGCCCTCCGACAGACTCGCGTCCAAATTCGAGAGACGCACGTTAAGCACGAACCAATTCTTGTTACATCATAAGTTAGATTATTTTCGTATTTTCATTTGTTTCTTCCTATATGATCTTTTGGAGGACTGAAGTGTAGATGGCGTTATTAACTTCTTTTTTGCTCTTTTTTATTATTTTTCTTTGTCATACATTCCATGTCGCCATGCATATGTTAGCAATAGATCACAGAAGACGTCAAAATGTGGTGGAAACAACAAGGGCACGCTATCGCCTAGTATGCTACTTGTTTGTTCTTACCACATTTTGACGTCATCTGTGATGTATTGCTGAACAGACGCATGCTGACAATGAATCTATTTGTCAACTTGAGACAAACCTGGTAATGATGTAGGCCTGCGCTCATGCCGAGAGCAGCTTTAAAGCCTTAGCTCTTCTCAGCAAGTAGTAAAAGAGATAAGAGTGCTTGCTTTCTCAAATCTAACTTGAAAATCTCCGTAACGGCGACAATAGAAGATGAGGGTTAAGAGAGTAACTCTACAATATAGCCACTATTAACAAGGTAATCCAACTTAATTGCCAGCTATCTTTTAGATCGTTACGGGTTTCATAAATCCCAGGTGGGTTTAGAAATAGATAATCCTGTGACGAGCGGTTTTACATGCATTTTTGTCCCCCACAAAAACATCCACGCAACACGCGTGGTAGTATTATCCTCCGAAGAACTAGGTACCAGGTCCATAAATAGCTTGAGAGGGACTAACTAACGGAAAGGGCCTATATGGAGGATAAACTCTCTTAGTGCTCATCCTCTCTTGAAAGCGGTTTCATGTACATAATTTTAGCAACTTAGGTTAATTAAGAAATAAACAAGTCGATGTATAACAGACCAAATATCGTTGTTATATTAGATCTAAGTCGCCACAGTATTGGAACACATCAGTACCCAGGACTTGCCCTATTAATGCAAACAATTAAAAAATATATGTTCTTCATGATTATCAGTGGTTTTATTTTGTGTTTCGAAAGGTTCAAGGCCATCTCTGCCAAAGTCATGTCTCCCACCAACGGTTCCACACTTTACTGGCCGCCAGAGGGAGTGTGAAGAAATCGCTGGTCACGTGGCTTCTGGATCCACG